ACTGGCTCAGCTGCTGGGCTCAAAGGGTTGTAACCAGATGCATAAAATCCAGCTGAAGGCCAGGCACTACTGGAGTATCTCAGGGGTTGGCACTGAGGGATTTGATACTGTCTGCCATCTTCACTACTGACCTGGATGGTAGGACAGAGTCATAGGTAAGACGGAGTCTGTATCCTCAGAAAGTTTGCAGATGACACAAAACAGAGGAGTAGCTGACACAGGAGGGTCATGCCACCATCCTGTGGGGTGGGCCAAGGTGCAAAGGAGTCCAGCAAAGGGCTATAAAAGTGATTAATGTGTGGAAGTATCTGACTCTGACATGAAATCAGAGGGTGAGAGACTTGTGACTTCTGAGTCAGAAGTCTCAAGTGGGATCTTGTCAATGTATATAAATACCCGATGGCAGGAACAAAGAAAGTGGACCCAGGCTATTCTTGGTGATACAAGAGACAATGAGAAAATGAAACAAAGGAAATTTCACTTAAATTAAAGAAAAAACTTTTTACTATGAGAGTAGTCAAGCACTGCCAGAGGTTACCCAGAGAGTTGGTAGAGTCTGCATCCTTGGAGATATTCAAAATCCAGCTGGACACAGTCCTGAGCAACCTGCTACAGCTGGCCCTGCTCTGAATACAGGGTTTGGATAAAACGATTTCCAGACGTGTCTTCCAACCTCAGCATTCTATGATTTTGTGGTTCTGTACATCACCACTTGACAGGGTACAGTGTTACATTATTAGGTACAGCATAACTGTGTTCTTTCAACAAATAGGCACCTTTGATTTTAATGTAATTTTTTTTTTATTATCCAGATATGGTTCAAGTAGAAGAAACTTTAAAAGCGTCCAGGAGGAATTTCCTTAGTCTTAATTAGTTGGCGATTCCCTTCACATACCACATCTTATATTATAATGGTATTCTAGCCCTGGAAAAATTGTTACAGAAATACATGGAACAGTGCAAAACGATCATGTTAGGGCCAGAACGAACGTGACAGTGTCTTTATCACATGATAGTGATAAAGACAGAAGTTTGAAAGAGCTTTAAAGATGGGTACCAGATGCTTCTATGTAAAGTGACAGGGAAAGTAAGAGTGATAAATTACTGAAAGGGAAAAAAAAGGTTTATACTTTCATTTTTTAAGACTGTATCATTTTATATACTGCTCCCTCCCCCCTTCCCCCCAATAACCAAAGACAGAATTGCCTGGTTTTATATCATGTCATATAGGACAATAAGATGAAATCCCTAGGCAAGTAGTGACTAAAAGTAGAGAGGAGCATCTCCCAAAGGCGAATCCCCTCATTGCCAAACTTTTTTGCAGGAGGACCATCTTACCCTACAGAGGAGTGAAAGGAACTTCATAGATTGTGTTCACAACTTACTGTGAATTCAGCATTTAAAGTGCAGAAGACTCTTGGAAAGTCTTTCAAACCAACACGCACCAGAGTTAAAAGCTTCTAGTAATTTCAGGTGATTTGATAACAAAATAAATGATTCATAGTTCTATGAATGCTGTTTTGAGATGATTATTTATCTGAGTTATGGTAGGATAAAGACTAGGTAGCAACATGTTTCTGGGCATGTATATCTCAAAACTAATCTCAGAACTGGCTTGAGGCACCTCAACAATGTAGGTAAAACTAGATGGGGGCAAAGGGCATTTCACATGAGAATGAGCTGGGATAGGGGAAACTGGGAGTTTGATCAGACATTGGATATCTGGTGGGGTAGGAAGGCTAATGGGTTACTCAGGAAGCAGCAAATGAGGGAACAGGAAAGGGCTGTGTGGATTCTGGGGCCTGGGAGAGCTCAGTGACTTTCCAGGCTATGAAGCTGGGAGAGGCCTGGGACAGGAAATGGAGTTTTCAGAAGGCTGTAGTGTGTCAAAAAGTTCTGGAAACTTCTTTTTTCTTCTCATTTTTTCCCTTGAAAAATATCTCATTTACAAGCTGTTTTGATTTAAAAATCACAGACAGCAGCCAACTTAACCTCCTACAGAGTTCCATGGGAGGGTTATATGTGTTATCGTCCTGTACTGGGTGCCATGTTGTGCACTGGAAGGGTCTGCTGCGGGCCAAGGGACAGAAGTGCGCTGCTGACCTTCAAACAAAACCTGAGAGATGAGCAGAGCAACATGAAACAGCTGTTAAAAGAAGGAACCAAAACCACCTGCCGGCCACTGATTTGGACCAATTCTTTGGAGACAACTGTGCAGCCACCGTGTCCAGTGTGAGTACACAGTGCTGTACACAAGCACACATCCATTTCCTGTCTCTTTCAAAGGCTGTCTAACACTGTCCCAGAAGTGTACCTGCTTATTTTGCTCTTTGCTAAAGTCAGCTGTGCAATAGCATTTGTAAAACTTAGAAATAGATGCAATTTAAAAAGAAAATCAATGGAAAAACAAATATGCTATATGTATTCCTGTGTGTAGCAAAATTTGGCAGGAGATCAATATGGTCTAAACACCAGTGAAGTCACCCATGTATGTCAGTTAGGATATTACATGGCTTTCAATGCAAGCTACACAACATAATACATCTTTATGTAAATTTCTAAGAATGTATGCAGGTTTCAAGATTCCATTTTATTGACTCTGAATACTTACGACAGCATTGTCTTAGCTTCTGAATAATTTCTCCTTTTCCTTAAATAATGTTAAAGAGATATACATAAGGAAAAAGAATTTCACATTTCAATACAATTTAACTTTTTTTTTCAGACTACACCCCTTTTTGGAGTGGTGTTCATCATGTATATATGACTAGTATCAGTTCCGGCAAACTCTACTTTGTAATGCTGAAGTCAACTAAAGAGTCAGGTAAATATACAGAGACAAAATCATAAAGACTTAAACAAATTCTAAAAGTACATATTTACTGGTCATATCCAACACCAAACCATTCAAATCAAGATTAATAACCCAAAAATGATATATTATGTTTGCCTTTCTTCAATCAATACTGTAAACAGTTTCTTTTGTTTGAAATTAAGTACTCTCTTTAAATATTTTAATCACTTTTATTCTTTATTGGCCATGGAAAATTACGAAGAACACAAATGTAAACAATCTAAGTAGGAAGTTTTCAAATAGAAATATCAGCTGATCAGGTATGCAATTTTTTCATATGTTGTGGACACTGTAGTAACCCTAGTGAGATCACAGACAATATACTTCATCTTAAAATGTTCATTTCAGAACAAAGAATGAAACTTCACATAGTTCAGATTAAAGAAGGTATTATTTACAATTTTATGGAGTTAAATTCAGAAGGTAATATATAAAAACTTTCTGAAACACTTTCCCTTAAAACTTGTCACATAAGAGTTTGATCATGAGTGTATACTTTCAGAGATAAAGAGAGTGCTCATCTCAGTCATCATCTAATCCATACTCTAGGAAAACTTCAATAATTTCATCCCATATTTAGTGAAACAGCACCTCTTTTGCAAACCTTGTCCATGATTTTTGGTAGCAATTCTAGATTCATACAGAATAGCAACAATAAGAAGGCCAAAGTACTGGCAGTATTTTAACCTGCCACCTGTATCTGTACGATTGTGTCATTTAATTGTACTCACAGAAGCTCCAGTTGTCATTTGATTAAAACAAATTTGCCACTGGCATTTTGCCTGTGTTGCTATTTCAACTAACTGAATTGGCCTAATTAGTCAGACTAACAGATTTACAGAAGTTCATATCAGCTAAAAGAAAAAATATTTAGAAAACAAGGAACATTTTGCAATAAGTCAAAACTGTATTTGTGAAATGAAAGTTCACAGCTTTATTTCAATTTCAGTACCACAATTTTGGAAATCGTGTTTCAAAATTTTCTGTTCCCATCTTTTTCTTCTCCTTGAGCTTAACAGTTATTCATTTCCTCATTTACAAGAAATAATACTGTCCTTTCATAATTCCCAATCCTCTGCACAAAGACATTTTCAAATGCTGTATTTCTCAAAATTCTTTTGCATCTGCATATTTTACTACTCTCTAGGAAAAAAAAAAGTGAGTAAACCCTTGGAGTTTACATTGTTCCCAACAGGAGGACATATTCAAGGACACTTTGGAGACATGTCCCAGGAAACTTTTAAATGCAAACATCTGTGTGAGACAAAAATGAAGAAGTAAGCTAGAGCTGTACAGATTTCTAAGTCAAGAGAAGCCACAGGAACATTGAGACTTACCTCTTTTCTTCTAACAAAAAATGAAATGCTGTAAAACAATTCCCTACCAACATCTCCATTTGCTACCTTCACCTATATACAAAAAAGCAAGATTAACAATTAGTGAAACAGAATGAAAATACAATGAAAATGTCTATGCACAGCCATCAAAAGAAAGACCTTTCTGGGTTTCCAATGCAAATGACTATTTTAGAGTCTCAAGGCTAGTTTAATGCATGTCATTCATTAGCTGAAGCTTTACATTTCTGTACACATTTTTAATTCTCTTTATACTGTTTGCGTACTTCTCTCTAACACACTATAAATTCCTTTCCCTAGGATATTTGTATTCAGCAAAGGAGAGCAAGGAAGCAGACTAGATGTACCAGCAAAAGATGCAGTAATAGAATTACAAAACAATAAAGCTACAAAACTAGTACAAGCTGTAGTAATATTTTCAAAACCTGTTTAGTCATTCTACTTTCTTCCTTGTGTCTGTAATACTATTTAATCTTTTTCTGACATGCCACAGTGTAAAAATACCACCAAAAGCCTGTTTTTATTCCAGTATTCAAGTTTTATTTTTTGATTATAAGAAAATTAAAGTTTGAAGACATACTTACTTATTTTAAATTCATACTTCCATTTGTTAAAATAACTCTTTGATTTTTTTCTGATTAATCAGATGAACACAAATAATAAATTTACACAGAAAAAGAAAGGAGGGAAAACCATTTTCAGGCCATTCTCTGTTTGTATATAAAATCCCAAATGCTTGTGAATAATTTTTGTTCTGGCTTTCATTCTCATTGGCACTTCCTGAGTTTGTCCTTATATTACTGATGTATACAAAAATATTGAAAGTTGTACTAGAGAATTTCCCTTCCAGAAATGTTCATCTTCCAGAAAAAGTTTTCATCTGATGCTGTAGGAAAGAGAAGAGAGGAACATGTCTACAGTTCAATGACTTCCACATAGAATATAGCTCTGTCTTCAACAGAAACTTGTCTGAATGATAGACTAATGTATTAGGAACTTAGGTACATCTTTTACCAGAAAAATAGGAACATGCAACTTTGAACAAGAGCCTCTCATTTGCCTGAACAACTTGTGTTTGAGTCATTAATTGGAATTAAACAATAGCTATTGTGGACAGCTTTCAATGTAAGAATGCCTCTTTTGCCTTTTGCTGTATTCCAGCAAGGTTCTTTCATTGCTTTTATAGCACTTATCACACATATTCTGGTCAGAACTCTGTATCATTAAAATAGATGTAGATATTTAGGTCCTTGATGTTATATCCTCTTACCCTCTGTTCTATTTTGTCCACATCGCCCATACTGCTACTCTAGTATCTTGTTTTTATAACTACTGCATCAATTACTATGTTGCTACATAGAGTATAACCAAAGAAAAGCAATTATAAAAAAAGCGCTAGTGAATCAATATTTTCTGTTAAAAATGATGTCCTAATATTTACTGTCATGCTTCAGTTGGAAAATTTTCTACGATAATCTACATTCTAAAAGCATCTTCATTAATACAATTATATATTTTAGGTCTAAATATTTGCCCAAGGTTTGTTAAGATTACAGAAAAATTTTAATGTTTATATTCATAGATATATATAGATTAATTTCAAAAAAGTACTGTTGACTTATTTTTTGCAGAGCTGAGAAATAAAGAAAACTTATATCAGGTTCTTCTCTCAAATTTCCTGAGTTTTCACCATTGCAAAAATCAAGGTATGGGAAATCACACTAGGCTAAATGACAGAGGAATACAGTCCTTATCTTTTATGTTGGGCAATTTAATGAAGCCCAGAATACATATAATGTAATGAACGCAAGACAGATAAATCTCATCTTATTAGTGAGCTGAGAGGTCACACTGCCTGATGTGGTACCATCAGCAAATGAGCAAGAATATGAAGTCAAAAGTGGAGGAAGTCAGAGGGAAAGAAAGAACATAAGGTAGGAGTCAGATTTAGTCAGTATAGAGTAATTGTTAAGCATCATTTCACAGAGTAGCATAACAATGTTCTATCACAGTGGTAGTATTACATTCCTACTGTTTCAGTCCCCTGTCTCAGTTCTAAATCTGCCTCGGTAAAGCTTGACTTTCTGTGGCTTTCAGACCCAAGGAAACTCTCAGAGTTGCTCTACCATATCACTGTGTTTTCCAAGTGAATGCTACAGTGAAAGCACAGGAGAGAAATCCTGGGATTTTTGCCATTGATTTCAGCAGCGACAAGTTTTCACATCTGAAGCTATGCAGAGTCCTAACCCATGAGACATGTGCAGCTGGATTTCAAAGTACAGAGAGCTTAGGGAGCCATTCCTTCACCTTCTGTCACTGGGCATGACTGAAAAGAGTCTGGTTTTGCCCGCTTTGCACCTTCTCTTTAGGTGTTTATATACACTGCCTTCTCTTCTCTAGGCTGAGTAGTCCAAGAACTCTTGGACTTTCCTTGTATGTGAGGTGCTCCAGTCTCTTTATGACCCCTCAGGCCCTTTGTTGAACTCTTTCCAATATGTCCATGTCTCTCGTGCACTGGCTATTCCAGAACTGGACACAGAACTCCAGGTGTGGTCTTATCAGAGCTGAGTAGAGGGGAAGGAACAACTCCCTCAACCTGCTGGCAGTGCTTCACCTAATGAAACCCAGGATGCCATTCACTTTTTTTGCATCAGTGGCACTGCTGGCCTATGTTTAACCCGGTGTCTGCCAGGACTCCCAGGTCCTTTTCTGACAAGTTCCTTTCCAGCTGGGTGGCCCCATGCATGTGTTGTTGCATGGGGCTGCGCTTTCTCAGATGCAGGACTTTGGGCTTCCCCTTGCTAACTTCATGATGTTCCCATCAGCACATTTCTCTAGTCTGTCAAGATCTCGGTGGCAGCACAGCCCTCTGGTACATTAACTGCTTCTCTGTGTGAATGATGACTCTTCCAAGACCCTGAAACTACATATTAAGGGGAAAAATTATCAGTATCAGATGTTATATGGGTAAAATATTTTTACAATTATCTGACATATATAATACATACTTGGTCAACTCAGCATGAAAGTAATACAAACTAAAAAAAACACTCTTTTGTGTTCAAAGTAAAGTGGTATGTTCTTCATGACTGAGAGTAGCAGCTAGTGCCAATGAAGTCTTTTATTTTAATAGCAAGGTGGCTTTCCTTGCTATCACTATTTTCACATGTTAGAAAAATTCAGTAACACCAAGGTCAACAATTGCTGTTTACTGTTTTTTTCTCTGCCCAGAGCTGTTGGTTTCTTTCTCACTTGGCTTTCTTTGAAAGTTACAGCACATTTATTTTGATCTTAATTCAGTCACAAAGAGGAAATTGGGGCTTGTTGGTTTCTTTTCATTATGAATGAAAATGTAACTACATGATCTTAGAAAACTGTCAAAGTAAAAAATTGTTTAGCAAATATTTGGGCATCCCAAAATTACTTCTGTTAAAGTTAACAGACTTTTAAAAGCAGTATTCATGAGGAAGTTGCAGCATAGAATTGCAGAGGCTCGTTTATGTTATAAACTCTAGCTAGCTTTCCAGTATCACAGTGGAGAATGGTATTATAGTCTGTAATCATTGGTAACTCCAAAAGAATCCATTAGAAAATGTAATTCACCTACCTGACCTTGCACATCCACCGGAAAACATTACAGGGACTTCCTGGCATTTGTTACAGAAGATTTAGATTTTTAGTAAAAAGTTATGTCTTGGGATATGCTCTCTCTACATAGAGAGAGAAGGAATGTTGCTTTGGTCTCTGATATAAGAAAGATTCAGAGCATGAAATGTTTTAAATTACGTGATCCAAAGAAATAAAATATCAAGCATTCTAGAAAAAGATGCAAAAACAAAGGAGAAATTCCAAGACAAGGGCTAATGATACTCTTATCTGAGGGGAAATTACTTTCTGATTCTAAGTCAATGATTATGGATGTCTTATCCCTGGTTGTTGCCTGTCTTTAATACCTTTCAAAGTTGGAAGAAAGGGAATTAGAATTTCCCTGCAGCCTATGCTGTGCATCAAAACTTGTAAAAATTCCTTCCTGTCTTATGTACAAGTTAAGTGAATCCGTAATCCATGGGATAAGCTGAATTCCATAAAAGACACCACAGCAAATATTGCCAACATATTAAAAGCAAGTATGAGTCTGTAAAACACTTCATAAACTTCATGAGCATCATATTTAAACAATGAGGGTTTCTTGACTATTTTACTTCATTTGAAAAGTACATACAGAGTTTCATTCTTTTATTAGTTACTGACCTTATACATCCAATGCCTTCTGTATGATCATTATGCCTAAAAATATCTCCATCTCTAATGATTATCCAAGTGAATTTTAAAGAATAATTATAACTAAAAATAGTAATTATAATTATTTTAAAGAAGAATTATATCTCCTCTAAAACTTCAACTTTGATAGCTTAAATAGCCTTTTAAACTTTCTAAAATACCTTTTCCTATTATTATATTAGCCTTTCTCTACTTCCATTCAAATTTATATTACTTTAGAAGCATGTATGATAGAAAATTGCAATGACATCCTTAAAGAACATCTTGCTAATACTATGCACTATAATGCTAAAATTCTTTAGTCCTCACTGAAAATTATTTTTGTGATCTTAAAATGACTTCCTGTCATTCTAAGCAGGATAGTTCTCCTGTGAATTTCCAGTAAACCCAGTTCCTTCTCTTGAAGTGCCAACTGCTGTTGATAAGCCTACAATTTAGAGCAAAAATTCTGGATTTAATCCCTACATGCTTTAGTTTCTACTATGCTATTTTATCCTACATTTGTAATTCCAGTTCATAATGTGCGACCCACCTGTTCCTATGGACACTGGTTGGATTTTTCAAGTGTTGCATACCATGAATTAATAATCCAAACATTGAACTAAATTTTTTTTTAAGCAGTGTCATGAGTAAAGATATTAAGCAGAACTTGTTCCAAGACTTGCTCTTGGAAAATATAAATTCTAGCCTTTATCCATGTGGACAACTTTCTTGTCATTATAGTCTTCCCTTCAGCTATCATGTTAATCATTGTATAGTCCTTGTCTTAATTTCCACTTTCATTTCCTTTCCTTTGATATCAACTTCAATTCCTTTGAATCACTGTTTAATTTAAACCTACATTATTGTTTTCATTGATCCCATCTGAAGGCTATAAAAGAAAGATGACAATCTACTTTTGGCAAAATAATATTGAATTAATCTTATTTAAGCTCCATATTCTTGGTTATTCTTCCTTACAAAATTTGCTATAGCATATTGTATTAGGGAGAAACGAAGAATTCTTTTGGGTATTCTACTTATCCTTTTCAGATACATCTAATCTTCTTTAATGGGAAGTAATAAATTACCACTCCCCAGAATGCAACTTCTTTTAAAATAAGTGTTATTGGACATTATTCAGGCTGTTCAGATTTCACACAATATAAGCTTATTTTTGTATTCACCATGGATGTGATCATTTCAATTTCCTATCCTTGTTGAATAATCTTTCCTTAATTGTATATATAATTATTTCCGTTAAAAAAGATCTGTGACATCCAATGTCCCTTATTCTCTACTTGCTCCTCACAATATGGCCCCAGTTGTTGCCTTCATATTATCTCTATAGCACTGTGGCTAGAAACCTTCTTACCATTTCCTTAGTCACTTTGAAGAATCTATCTCAGACAGATATTTTGCCTTTCTCACAGTAATTTTGTACTTTCTGACCCATAGACCGATAGATACCCTAATTTCAGTAAATTGCCTGATTACCTACAATGTCCTGCACGAGGCACTTAATGGTCCAGGCAGGTCCATATTTTTTCCTATCTACATACTTCTGCTTGAAACTCAGCCCAGATTATTGAAATTTTATCTTCATATGTGTCCATGTCTCATTCCCATTTTAGTCCATAGGTGCCTCTTAATTGGATTATGGCTTCAAAATTTCAATCTGAAGCTTTAATTATTACCAACCTGTTTGTCTACCCTGTAAATGAACGTACTGTGGGAGTTTTGAACCTATCTGTGCTCACTCATTCCAAGAATACTGTCTCAAATTACTTTTCTTTCTCCGCAGCACCTACTCTTAAATTAAGATTTATGTCTTTTAAAGTAAATATAACATGGAGTTACATTCTTCTGCTTATAAAGAAACCTGTATGGCATTGTCTCCAAGAACACCTGAGCTGCTATCATGGTATGATTAGTATTGTAACCTATTAGTCTTTTTTTGCCAAAACTGTGTTTAGGAAATCTAAAATTTCCCATAACTCAGAATACTATGTATTTTTTTCATAGTTTCTAAGACTCTTCGAAACCATATCCAACTTTGTTTTGTAGATTATAAAAAGTCTTAAATGTGTTGGTAAGTGCTCTTGGCTTTTTATAAAATAACATCATCGAGTTCTTTCTCACCAATTGTTCTCTTACATGAAAGGAATATGAATATAGGAAGTTACCTATATTCAGGTAGATACCTGACATGAGTAAAAAAGGAGTCATAGGATTAGTAAAGATAGTACATGAAAAAAAAGTCTGATGAGTAACACTCAAGCAACTCCCACGTCAGCCCCTCCTATGCAATTTTATTAAGCATCTTTGATGTAAGACAAAATAAAGTTGTGCAGAAGAAATCCTTCCTGTTTTAAAATATTTGACAAGCTATTTCCATTCTGTTTTCCATTTAGATATATATAACTAGGAAAATAGAGAAGAAAGTATGATGCAGAATTAAATCCAGACTTTAAATGTACCCAATATGCTCTTTAAATAACAAGAAAACATTAGTCTCATAACACCTAGCACCCTCACCTCTGCTAGATTTCTAGGAAGATTCAACAGAGAGACTTTATGAGAGAAAAATAAAATTAAACTGCTTTACCATGTCCTACTGAAAGTCCATTACAATCATAGTATCTCTCACAGTAAATAGAAATTGATGTTTAGGTGGGACGTATAAGAAGTAAAGCATTTGTGGCATGGTCTTTCCCCTGTATACTCTCCAAATCTGCCAATCAACTTTCAGGGACTTCCAAAGTCAAGCGTTCAGACCTGTGTCTCTAGCAACCACTGATGAGCACACCCTGTGTTATTTTTTTTCTTATCATTTTTTGTGACATATTTATTCTTCTTTCCTTCATAATATGACAGTAGTGAGTACACCATTTGATCATTTACTGTACAGATAAAAATGCCTGCTTTTATTTGTTTTATCGTGATTATATCAGCATTCCCCTTGATACCTTCTAAATTCTCAGCTTGTAAGAAACTGTTTAGTCAAACATTACTATTTTTCTCTATATGTCATTCGTTATGTTGCAAATCTCTGTCATAGTCCTTTTCCTTGCACATCTGACCTACTACCCACTGCCTTCCATTACTGGTAAGAGACTTAGTTTCATTATATGAAAACCAGTCATTTTTATTTCCATTCTTGATAGCTTTCTCTGCCTCTTGTAGGTGATTTTTGAGATGACTGGACGAGCGTGCAGGATTTTCACAGTGTAAATCCATGGATCTACACCGTGGCATGATTGTGTTTTTGATTTTCCATTCTTTCTTCCTTTCCTGATAATTTTTAAGGTTCACTTGCTTTTGAAAAGCCTCTGAGTAATGACTTGAGGTTTTGTGAAAAACAAAAGTCACCTTTTCTTTGAGGGGTTTCTGCATTGAAACCTGTTCATGCTTTTATCTGTAACTCAGGATCAAGTGTGTACAGTTACAGAAAACAGACATTTCTATTTTGGTAATACTGAAGATCAATTGGTTAAACTTGTTAAACACACACAAAAAAGCTGCATTAATTTCCTGATTACAGTACATATTTTGACTCCTATGGCTGAATTCTGGATCCTCGCTTCCAAATAAATTGACCAAATAAACTGATATATGGTTTTTTAACTGAAGAGACGGTTTCGTATCCAAGTGTTAAATATGCCCGAGAAATAGTAAATAGATGATTTCAATTTAAATTCAAGATTTATTATCTATATAAAATTATTTTATTAAAACAAAAACTATTTAATACAATGTTTAAATTCCTGAAAAGATCTTTTAATATAAAGATCTGGAGGCATATATACTTTAATAGCAAAGAAAGAAATTATCTAGCATTTGTTTGAAATTGCACAATGAAATATCTGATTATTTCCCCATTTGAAAAAAAATATGAAAATCAAGATCTGCTGTGACAAGAGGTACACTCAGATGATGAAAAGTGCACCTTTTGCTAAGCAAATAGTGGTTGTCATATAAGAATAATAATGAGAATTACTAAGTGCAAATAAGAAAAGCTTGCCTAAGTACAGAAGGTGCATTTTATTATTCTGTGATGTAAAACTGATATAAATTAAAATTTAGATATACATTTAAATGAAAACAATTTCAAAATTGGAGATTTAATCTTAAATTGCACAGTAGGCTTGCATTTTCTTATGAGAAAAACAGAAGCGCAAAAGTGTGAGGCTGTAGGCTCCGGTGTCTTATTCAATCCAATCCTCCTGTGGGAATGAGTAATGTGTAAAGCTTCAGACCACTGATAATAACTATTCTCTAAATTAAAGATGAGCTTTAACCCATCCTCTTTGATGATTAAGAAAGCCAAATTTTCAAAGCTAATTAGTTTTTCAGTAAGGGTCATTGTTGCTTATTGTTCAGGCACTCTTAAGGTAATTAGAATGCCTGACCTAAATTAAGCACATTTTGCACATTTTATTAACAATGCACAGTAACAGGAACCCCTGGCCAAAATACATGCTGTGCCTCTATTTTCTGAGATGGCCTACCAAGGAAGCAAATTTCACATCCAAGGATGCTTCCAGCATAAATATCTGGCAGCATGTTCTTGGTGGCTTGACTAGCAATGGTTGCACCATCCCACTGCATGGGGAAAAGTGGCTTCTATGTTTTCCTTTGTTGGTATTGCATTGCTTCATGTGTTGTGAGGAACTGAGCACAGACAGACAGGAAAGTACTCTGAACTACCTAAGGAAGCAGTAAGGACTGGTTTGCCCTTCTACCTCAATAGTTTGCTGTTGCAGCAGTAGAAAATAGGTGATTTTTACAGAAAAAGAGTAGAAATAATAAATTATTGAATGATTCTTCCTATCCATAAAGACATATAAGATATACAGGTTCCAACTATAAGCATTTTAGAATTTTCTGAACCAAAGTTGGAACTGCTTTTAATATCCACAGTCTAATTATTCTGATATTTAGATTATGAGAAACAGTAAGCAGTCCTTCCCACCTCATCCTCTCTGTATTGTTACCAACTGTGTAACCATACCCCTTCTTTTTCCCAAGCTCAAGAATCCTGCTCAACTTAGTCCTCATAACTACAGTCTTCTCTTGTTGCTTTTTTTTGTACATGTCCTTACAGAGAATATAAAAAATTAAACATGAAGAAGTTTATGTTGTTTCTTTCAAAATAATTACTGCTGGTTTATTTCCCTTTGATTGACATTGCTCAATGAGCTCAAGATATTTGCAGAGAACTATCCCAAATGTATTCTCACTGAGGTAGCAGCCAGGTTAGAGCCTGAAATTCTTTAATTAACTTTAGTTAATTTTTCCATTGTTATATTGATTTAAAATTTCAGCTATCAATTCCGCACCTGTTCACTCAATATGGTAAAATTCTTGTGTAACTTTGGGTAGTTCGCCTTAGTTCGTGGGCTGTCATGAACATGAATTCTTCATTGTTACTGTGTTACTATTAATCTCCTTCCCCACATCTTTATGAATAGATGGTCAGGTTCCAGCTGTCAACCTCTCCTACAACACAACTTCCATAATTCTTCTTTTCCCCATTTAAAACCACCTATGATCACAGCAAAACCTCTCCTTCTATTGCAATTTTAATTGAGAATTTTTTTTTTTGGTGATAGGCTTCATCAAATGTTTGGAATTTTCCTGCACTGACTGAATAGGTGAAACTTACTAATATGCTTATTGAGTCCAGCATTACACTATGGTTGACTTTTAAGATATAACTTCCCTCTACAAAAGCCATGCTAACTCTTCTCCAATATTTCATATGTATTCATGTGGTCACCGAGTCTACCATTTAATAATCCCATATACCAAGTGGGCTCTAAGATAATCAAATTACAGGTAAGGTTTTTTCTTGTTTGATTTTTTTTCCCCCAAGAC